GGAGCCCGATGTGGGGCTCGATCCCAGGACCCTGGGATCATGACCTGAGCTGAAGGCAGTCGCTTAACCAACTGAGCCACCCAGGCGCCCCGCCATCCAGATTATTTTTAAAAACCTTTTACTGAAAGGGTTTAATAAATAACTTTTACTGCTTCGTCAAGAACATCCTTAAGAGAAACGGGCCCTTTTCTGGAACTTCGAGTATGGGCTCATGTACAGTGCAGCGGCTGCTGCTGGCTGGGGCCACGCTGGATTGATGCTAAGGGACCAGCACCTCTCGCACTGCTTTGACTCTGCAACGTTAAATCCAGGCACAAGCGAAAAGGCAAGTAATATCTTAACATTACTATCAGAAGTAGTTTTGACCTTGGGCACTCCCTGAAAGGGTCTCAGGGACCCCCCCTCAGGGGCCCTCACACCGTATCTTGAGAACCACTGGATTCAATAATCACAGTACACATATACACGTGTGTTATTATAAGGTTACTAAAATGAATTCATTTATTTGAAAACACTTGAACGTTTATAATATAGCCATCTGTGCATGAGAAGTCAGGATAGCGGCTTCCCTCGGAGGGGAAGGATCCAGAAGGGGATGTATGAGGTACTGCCAATACGTCCTGGTCTGGGTACAGGCTAGACAGATGTGTTCGGTTTGTAAACGTGCATCACACCGTGCACTTGCACATGCACACTTCCAGCACATGTTACATGGCAATGCACGCTGAAAAAAATCTGTGGAAAGTGCTGCTATTGTCTGAGATGAGGAAGACTCAGAGAAGAGTAAGTCTGGGACTAGGGGAGGAGAAAGAGTACAATGTTTTGCATATGACCAAGTAGAGGGAAAAACTGATAGGCCATGGAGAGAAGGCATAATGACAGAAGAAACATCCCTACAAGGGGAGAAGGGAAAGAATCCTAAGTGTTAGTACTACTTATTAAAAAGTCAAAAACCTAATGTTTCAAGTTACAGCTCCAAATGTCCTTTTCTGTTTTTTTTCAAACTGAAACCGCTTTTAATATTCTTTTATTAATTCCTCAAACGGCCTATGCCTATCAACCTTAATTGAATTTCTAGTAATTATTATTTTCAAATTCAGTATTTCATATCTGATGAAACTATTCCAAGTATTCCAAAGAGCTCTTTTAATTTTTTGCTTAAAGATTTATTTCAGAGAGAGAGAGTGTGTGTGTGCACGTGGCGGGGGCGGGGGAGGCCAGAGGGAGAGGGAGAATCTCAAGCAGACTCCCTGCTGAGCACAGGAACCTAACTCCGGACTCCATCTCACAACCTCACAACCCTGAGGTTATGACCTGAGCCAAAATCAAAAGCTGGCCGCTTAACTAACTGAGCCACCCAGGTACCCCTGAGCTCTTTTAATTTTTAAAGAAAACTCCTTGTTTCTAAGCTATTAAATAACCCAAAGGACAGTTTTTACTTTGGTATGTTTGCTCTGAATCCTTCCTCAACAACTGTGTATGTATAATGAATGTATATGAGATTTTAGTTACTACGTTTGTGCTTTTCTTAAGTAGAGTTAAAGACTAAGGTACACTTATCACTCAGCTTCTAACAAACAACATTCCTTAACATGGCTACCAGGAAGGAAAAATAAAAAAGTCATCCACAACTGTGCCCAACTTTGGCAATTGCCCATTCAGTATCAATTGCTACAGACTTTACAGTTAATGATACTAGCTTTGGAAAACTGATAGATGTGATGGGTTGGTTATTAAGCAAAATGATCTTCTGGCATACTGGTCACTTGGCTACTTGTTTTGCTCCCGTTAACAAGAGATAGAGCAGCAAATGCGGATACAGAAACAAGTTAGGCTATTTAGTGTGGAGAAGATAAGGGGATTCTTGTCTGACTGCTTCTACTTCTTAGCTAAGTTTGGAACAAGTTCATGTGCTATGGGTGAGGGCTGAAATGAGTTGTAGGATATTTGAAGAGAAGGAAGGTATGAAGCTACCTAACTCGACAGTAGGAAAAAGAGTATCTTAGAGAATGTTGGGCTGGTGCTGGGTGCCCGTCTGAGATTTGAGGTCATGAATGTGAAAGGCAACCTGTCCACACGTGTTTAACGCCAGTAACATAAGGTTGCTTGGGTACAGGAACAGTTAAGCAAATGGTTCAAAGTTTTGCCAGGTGAGTATAATGCACAGGAGAGTAACAGAGTTAAAGGTGTTTGTAAAATAATGATGAACCACTGACTAGAAGCTGGAGCAATGATGGATAGTACACAAATTAAAAGTCCCAATGGAACCAAAGAATTGCTGGCATGAGAGTATTAGAGCAAGTCAGCTGTAAGATCAGAGTGGGATAATTGAGATGGAGATCTTCAGGGGTAACCCGTAACAAGGTGAAGGGTATGACCATAAGAGTAGACAGTATGATTGTGGAAAGGGATGGCTAAGGTGGAATGGAGGAAAAGATCATTAAGAAACAAGGTGTCAAGGAACTAAGAGGGCCAAGGCCTTGGACAGATCACACATATGGACACTAGAGTCATCAAGAATGCAGTCCTGAGTGAGTGGACAGGAAGACTGTGGACCAGGGTTAAAGTCACCAATGAAGGACAGAGAATGACCAAGGGATCAGTAAATGTCAGAAGGGGTCAGTGTATTGTCAAGTCTGATGGCATGACCTAGAGAGGGAAGAGAAATGGCTTGAAACCTGCAGAACAGAAAAAGGACACCTACCCCACCCAAAGTATATGAAGCATGAAAGAGGAAAAAAGAGTGTCTACTTGAGAGGCCTACAGGAAAGACTATTGTTACAAAACAGATTTCAATTAGGGAAAGGATATGAAAAGAACTTTTCAAAGAGCACTTGAGAATACAGGGTGTGTGACACCTTCTGGGCATGGTTCCAGAGGATAACATGGAAGGGTTAAAGAATGGGAATTTCCAATAAGGAGCTCTGAAGTTTGTGCTATTAAAGGCTCTCTATTGTTACTCTGGTAAAAATCTGGAAACAATTTCATTTTTGGTCCCTGATTTCTATAAACATCATGCATGTGTCCCCCAGTTTTGTTTTGTTTTTTTTTTAAGATTTTATTTATTTATTTATTTGACAGAGACAGCGAGAGAGGGAACACAAGCAGGGGGAGTGGGAGAGGGAGAAGCAGGTTTCCCGCAGAGCAGGGAGCCTGCTGCGGGGCTCAATTCCAGGACCCTAGGATCATGACCTGAGCTGAAGGCAGATGCTTAACGACTGAGCCACCCAGGTGCCCCTCCCCCAAACAGTTTTAAGATAAAGTTCACATATAAGCACTTACCTCTATTTCTGTAATTTTTTCAGAAGGATTATCAATTAGGAAACGTGCTAAAGTCCCAGGAGTAGTTCTGTAAGTTAGAATGATTGAGTTTTTAGGGTCCTGACACCACTGAATGAAGAGATCCCTTGAAAATCCACATTCCAGGTCAGGCTGGCTGGCGAGTACCACTTTGGGGCTAGGTACCCGAGCCAAGTCGGAAAGACCGTGACATAAAGAGAGATGGCGAAACTGAAATGGATTATTTCTTTTGTCTTCAAAACATCTCATCAATTTGTCACTCATCCATTCTACCTAATATAGGGGGAAAGGATGACCATAATTAGAAAATACTAGATTATAACTGCAATGTCTTCCACAAAGTCTAGAAGTTCCTGGTCTGTCTTCTTTTAAGTCTTTACCACCAATGGTTCTTTAAACATGTACCATTCTGATGAGCAGCTTACTCTCTGTTCTGTTCCCCATTATATCCTCCCACCCCCATAGTTCATCCCTAAAAATCCAATTTTGCATTATATTTCAGTTACAAGTCACCTTAAATCTTACTGAGAAAGCAGAGTATAAGTTTTAAATAAATATCTTACCCAAAATTGCTATTTCAAGGGAAAGAGCTTATTCAGAAAGAAGAGAAAAATGGATTCTAACATTTATATCCTATGAGGTAGGTTCTACTTTTGTCCCCATTTTACAGATTGTGATACCAAGCGTTAGGGAAGCAACTTGCCCAATCTGTAAGATGGGGACAAAAACAGAACCTACTTCATAGGATCTAGAAGGACTAAACGAAATATTCCATGTTAACACACAGAACAAATGGTTCATTACCATTATCATCATCACCATCAACCTCTTCAACAGAAGAATAAAATCCAAAGGGTAACTAAAACATTGTTTTCCAGAAGTCCAATTTCTGTAGCAAACTTCTGTATTACAAATGACACCATGAAAACAAACCTGGGACTTGGAAAACTCCACCACATTATAGCTGACATTATTCAGGAGTGCCAGTGAGTAGACACCCAATCCTGCATCTTTAGTTCTCCAGATTTGATCAAGGAGTTGAGCAAGTTCCAAAACTCTGCCTGCAGTGTCCACTGCTATTAATACATTTCCATCACCTCGAAGTGTTTCCAGGACATTTGCTAGAAAACAAGAATGTAAAATCCATAGAGAACATAACAATACCTTGCTGCAAAATTAAAGATGACTTAATCTCCAGTATAAAGTCTGAAATTTATAAATAAGCAATTATTAGGCCAGGTACACAATTTTAAAAATTCCACTCAGGTTATTACAACTACTTTTTATTCTGTGAATGTATCTTCATAGGAATGAAAGACAATGCCATTAATTCTCAATTTTTTTTCACTGAAAAAGTGTAAATCAGTGGTCCCCAGCCCTCTTCACCCACAGTCCACATAAAAAATGACATTCATACAGTACACTGGGGCCAATTATTTACAACTTTGTTACAAATGATTCCCAAATTTATACACACAAGTACACACATTCATACTTTATTTTGTACGTACACATTTTGTGTGTATGTATGCCTACACAATAAAATATAGATCAAATTCCCTCTTCCAACAAAAGTATCTTTAGGAGTAGATTTCCTCGCTCTACATTAAAGTTGGCTTGGAAACACTTGGTAAAATCAAACTCTAGCAAAAACAAACAAAAAAACACAAGAACTAAACACTTTCTTAAAGTGAATACAACACAATACACAAACTCTGCCTTTTTTTTTTTTTTTTTTAAAGATTTTATTTATTTGTCATAGAGAGCGAGAGAGCGCGCCCAAGCAGGGGGAGTGGCAGGCAGAGGGAGAAGCAGGCTCCCTGCTGAGCAAGGAACCCAATGCAGGACTCGATCCCAGAACGCTGGGATCATGACCTGAGCCGAAGGCAGATGCTCAATCGACTGAGACACCCAGGCATTCCACAAGCTCTGCTTTTTAAGTAGGTATATGAAAGCAGTGGTTTCAAACATATTTAAAAGTAGAATCTAATTTTCCTGTTGAAATCCCATGTAGCTTATAAAAAAAAGAAGGTAAAGCAGCTGGAGCCAAAGCAGAAGCAACCAGGGATGGCCCAGAGGCTCCTCTTTAGAACTGAGACTACTAGATTAGAGTGTAAGACTCCCAACACCAAAAATCAGTGGACTATTTGCATCCTCATGTATCTCCTTTGCTCATTTTTTTTTCTTTTTTTTTCCTTTGCTCATTTTTCTTTTAGAGTATGTGTTTTTCTAATAGATTTTTTTTTTAAGATTTTATTTATTTAAGAGAGAGAGAGAGAATGAGCACACAAGCAAGGGGAGCAGCAGGGGGAGAGGAAGTAACAGACTCCCTGCTAAGCAGGGAGCCTGATGCGGAACTCAATCCCAGGACCCCAGGATCATGACCTATGCCAAAGGCAGACGCTTAACTAACTGAGCCACCCAGGCGCCCTTTTTTAATAGATTTCTATGAGCTCTTTATATATTCTGGCATTCCCTAGACCTATATCAGTGAATGCCACATAGAGCTAGCTATGTGCTGAATGACAGGGAGAAGTCAATCTCTACACCTATCCCATAAAAGCTGAATTCAGATGAACTAAAGCATCTTTTTGTACAAAATAATGATATGGTCACATAATATTTTTTCAAAAATATTAGAGTTAGAGGCACCTGGGTGGCTCAGTCAATTAAGCATCCAACTCTTGATTTTGGCTCAAGTCATGATCTCAGGGTCGGGAGATTGAGCCCCACATGGGCTCCACACTGGGGGTGGAGGCTGCTTAAGATTCTCTCTCTCTCCCTCTGCCCCTCCCCCACATCTCCCTCTCTTAAAAAAAAAAAAATTAGAGTTAACCAATCTCTCATGACAAGAAAAGTGTTAAACAAAATAGAAGAAACAGTAATTCATACTACCATGCACCTCCACAGAGGACATTACTATGTAATACGTACTCAGAAGCTGCTCGTCTCTCTGTTTTCTCCGAGGTTGCACATACGTAGCATTAAAGGAATCTGTGATAAGCAGGGAGGGTCTGCTTAGCATTTCCAGGGAACATCCATTTAAATGGCTATAACAAAGTTAAAGAAGAGGAGTATTACATCACTTCAAATAAACAGCTGCTTATCTCACCTAAAAAATAAGCAACTTTCTTTTAAAAGATTTTTCCTTCCCTAACTATAAAAGGACAGGTGCTCATTAATAAGAAATCTAGTACATTAAAAAAAAAAAATAGGAAAATTAAGATTTTCCAGAGTTCCATCACTCAGAGAAATCAATATAATATTTTGGTATACATCCTTCTAAGCATATAAATACACTTTTCTTTTTTTTTTTTTTAAGATTTTATTTATTTATTAACAGAGAGAGAGACAGCGAGAGAGGGAACACAAGCAGAGGGGGTGGGAGAGGGAGAAACAGGCTTTCCTCAGAGCAGGGAGCCCGATGCTGGGCTTGATCCCAGGATCTTGGGATCGTGACCTGAGCCAAAGGTAGACGCTTAACCAACTGAGCCACCCAGGCGCCCCCAAATACACTTTTCTAAGCATATATATGTGAATATATTTTACAAAACCGGTATCTCATGTATACGCCTCTATACTCAGTTCTATACCCTGGTTTTCTCCCATGACACTAAAACTGGTTTCTAAATCTATTTTTTAACAATTGTAAAAACCTCTTACTGTGTATTTTATCTGATCACTTCTCTTTGTTTAGGTTACTTTTCTCATTATTATAATCTCAAAGAACATTTTTGCAAAAAACTTTGATTCCATTTCTGATTGTTTCTTTAGGCCACATTCCTAGAAATTATTTACTACAATACACAATTTTGCTAAATGGCTTTCCAGAAAGATTTAACCTTTTTCAGAAAGCTCTACCTTTTCCAGAAAGAATGAGCAACTCACTATTTCCTAGAAGAATACTACCATTTAAACATCATTTTAAGGATATTTAATTTTAAAAAGAATTACCATTTAAAGTTTTTTACTTTATAACTTTTGTCCATTTTGTAACTGGCATCTTTTTGATTGGTTAATACCTGGTCTTATACACGTAAGCCTTTAGCCAACAAGCTGCAAATATTTTCCCTATTTTATTGGTCTTTAGTTTACTGTTTCAGATGTTTTGAATCTGTATGTAATCAAATCTATCAGAGTTTTCCTTTGTAACTTGATCCGCTGCCTTTACACTCACAAACTCTTATCAGAGATTAGACTCACCCATACGGTTTCATTTTCTATTTAATTCTAATCCATCTGAAATTTGTTATGTGGTAAAAAACAAACAAGAAAAACTACAAACTGACTTCTTCCCAAAATGTTTGAATACCATTTACTCGAATATCCATACCTTCCTCATTAATCTGTGATTAAAAGAGCCTAAAACTTATTAGTCTTATATACTTCTAAATAGAAGATACAAAAGATCTTGAGGCTACTGTAATCTCATACAAAATAACTATGAACTTAATGTACAGAAATTACAAAAGAAGCCTCTATGAAACTAAACGCCAAAACAATTTTATAGTAATGCTGTGAGTAGAAAACAAAGTATTTAAAATTACAACTACTGTGTCCCTTTTAAAAGGAGTTTGACTTTAAATATAGTTATAATTACTAACTTTACAAAAAAAAAAAAACCCACAAAGGTCCTTCAAATAACAGGTCAAGTAGCATATAAAATATAATTTTACGTACAAAAATTAATCTCCTTTGCAACATCTCCAGAGAGTTATCTGTTTTAGACTGGATACTTACATGTCAGTTTGTAAAATACATTATCTCTTATATCAAAGTTTCCCCTCACAATGCAAAAAATTCACTATTTGAGGCCTTTAAGTAGTTCTAGATTTCTAGTTAAAAAAAAAAAAAGAACTTTTTAGTTTAATTTAGTTTAATTTAATTTTCATTCCAAAGAATGAAACAATACCAACTGCATTTCCATTAGCTTTTGTCTGGATATACCTACATCTCCCTCTTGTGGTTAAAGTCAACTGCATACACAATTTCTTCTTCTCCATCTTTGACTATTTTCCATATTGTTCCACCTATCATATGACCAGCTGGCAGAGGTGTGATAGACAAGCCATGTCCTTTACCTATGTTAATAAGAGAGAGACAATACTCAGATTTCTTTTACAAGCCTAAAGAAAGCTTATTTATTTGTAAACTATTTTTAATAGCTAATATATGCAGTGATACAAAATCCCAAAGTAAAAAGGCAAACACTGAAAATGCAAGTCTCACTCTTCTGCCCCCCCCAGCTACTCCATTCCCTCACTATAGACAAACTCTCTTGTCGTTTTGTTATGAATTCTTGCAGACGTATCTGTGTTCATAAACTGAAATATTACAGAGATTGGATTTAAATGCCAGTACCCTATTAAATTACTTAATATGAATGAATAAATTTGAATATTTATTCGGTACACACACAATCAAATGTTTCCATTTTTGCTAACCTGAAATTGACAGAGTAACAATACAAATCTCATGGTAAAAAATTTATCCTATAGAAAAATTAAGTACAAGCCCAACTGTTGTGACATTGTTATTTCTTGGTCAACTCATCAGAGTCCACCATGGCACCATTTTCTCAATTTCAATGCAAGGCTTCATATTTAATCTCCCTCCACAGATGAGAAATCTATACTTAACAGAGGGCTTCCTGACCTAATTAAGTAATAAACTTCTTAATACCCAATTCTAGAATTCAGTTATCTTCTACTATGCTGCCAAGGCACTGCATTTCCTTCAAGACTTCAATCACTACATTTAGTCATCTGAGCCCCTCAACCGTGAACTCCTAGGAGGAGGATCTGGCACGTTACCTTTGTGCATCATACACAAACACTAAATAAGTCAATCCCAAGTTAAATGTGAAAAGGCTTGAGCTATTAACATTGTGTTAGTATTTAATCTGGAATGTTTTAAAATCCAAATGACTTGGGAGAAGTTCAGAGTTCCATATGAGAACATGCTAATCTTTTCTTTTTCAGACCAAAGTGCCTATGATTTTTACTACAAATTCCCCTTGTACTTTTCAAAATCAGTTAAACCCCCTTAGTCCAACTACTTACTATTGGAATCATTTTTTACCTTTCAAATTCACAATCTGAGAGAATTTTAACTGCTGTATTTTATCAAAGGCTGCATCCACATCATCTAACGTGAAGAGTGTAAAGTCTTCTGTATTGTGTCGAGACTAAAAGAAGCACATAAATCAGAGGTTAAACATGATCACTACAGGAGTGTAAAAAGCAGTTTTTAATTGCTTGAGTTACCTGGTAAAGATCATACATGAACATCTGTCCCATTTTATAAACAGGAATGGTCGCGTAGATAGCACAGTTCAGACCCAGCTTCCCGACGGCATACGGGAGAGCACCAAGATGAAGAGGATCGGGGTGGGACAACAGTACTGCATCAATTTGGTGAACATGCCTAGGAGAACATGATCAAAATGGCTTCTCAATTTCTCCAATCTTGTTTTTAAGAGTAAAGACTAGGCTGGGGTAAAAGAGCAGAAGAGCTGAAATTATGATACCTAGCAATACCAGTTATTACTACCCCGTCCTGCATAGATATCAAAAGTATGGTATGTGTTGCACAAAACAGAGGATGTCTATACACATAAAAAAAGAAAAAAGAGCATCAGTAGATACCACACATAAGCTGCTTGTGAATGGCTGTTTCATATACTATTAAAGTTCAAGAACTCAACTTGAAATTTCAGAAATTGTTAGGGAGAGGATATTTAAATGGCCATATATTTATTATGGATTTTTGCCTCTGCTTTTTAGCATGGTGACTGATAGCATATTCACTATAGTGAAACTTCAATTAATAAAGCATATGGTGGGCGCCTGGGTGGCTCAGTTGGTTAAGTGACTGCCTTCGGCTCAGGTCAAGATCCTGGAGTCCCAGGATCGAGTCCCGCATCGGGCTCCCTGCTCGGCAGGGAGTCTGCTTCTCCCTCTGACCCTCCTCCCTCTCACACGCTCTCTGTCTCTCATTGTCTCTCTCTCAAATAAATAAATAAAATCTTTAAAAATAAATAAATAAATAAAAATAAAGCATATGGTCTCACTGACAGAAGAAATTAGAAAAAAAATGTTTTGCTAAAAGTTCTCAGTTTTTAAATATTTAAGTTCTCTTTCCTTCCATAATTAGTACAATACTACAAGCATTAAGTGAATTTTTCTTTGATAGATTAGTATCCTTTTGTATCTCATGGTCATTATTCTGGGCACCAAAGCTCAATATGAAGGATCAAAAGACATAAAAAGTAAGCTAATGTGATCTGATGGCAGACTTTTCACATGGAAGGTTTTTCCTCTCTTCAAATTCTTACACAATTATTCTTCTCTAAAATTATGGTGCAAAAAATCTCTACTGGGATCCATTAGCCAAGTAACACTTAACATTTTACTGAATTTCAATAAACACAGTTTATAATGCAATCAAAACTTTACAAATGGAAACAGTCACTATTTGGCTCTTTGGAGTAAGTAAAACTAAGCCTTTTACTATAAATCAAAATAGAGGAAAGAAAGCAAATACCGTATATCATCAAGATGGTATTACAGTGTAGAAAAGAGAAATTCATTTAATAAAAGTCTAGAAATATGAAAAGTAACTTACTTCCTCAGAGAATCTATAATATCCATAGAAAAGTGCTCATCCCAGCCACAGTCCAACAGAAATCTAAACTCATCAACTTGCAGAAGATAGCAAAGAGCAGACTCTTCTTGAACCCCAGAGAGGGTAGTTAATTTGATAATAGATGTCATTTTTGGTCCAAAAACAATCCAAAAAGTCTTCTCAAAAGAAATAAAAACATAATTAAAAATACATCATAGTCTAACAAACAACGTACAAATTAACATTGCATCAGGTTTCTAAGTGGGCAGAAATTCCATAAACATAGAGAGAGCAAGAGAGAGAGCATGAGCAGGGGGAGGGGCAGAGGGAGAAGCAGACTCCATGCTGAGCAAGGAGCCCGATGCAGGGCTCGATCCCAGGACCCCGGGATCATGACCTGAATTGAAAGTCAGACACTCAACTGACTGAGCCACCCAGGCGCCAGGCGCCCCAGAAAGCAAACACTTTAAAGACCTATTTCCATCATTGCTAAATTTCAAAGTACAAACATGATCTTATGTACTCTTGTTTACAATGAGTCCTTCAGTGGCTCCCAGTGTGGCTTAATGAAAAGCAGTAGACATGGGGCGCCTGGGTGGCTCAGTCTGCCGTCTGCCTTCGGCTCAGGATCCAGCCCTGCATCTGGCATCAGGCTCCCTGCTCTGCGGGAAGCCTGCTTCTCCCTCTCCCATTCCCCCTGCTTGTGTCCCCCTCTCGCTGTGTCTCTGTCAAATAAATAAATAAAATCTTTAAAAGAAAAGAAAAGCAGTAGACTTTAGAATCAGTTTCAGATCTGAAACTACTACTAGGTGGTTCTAAGCAATTAATTAACCTTTCCTCACTTATGTATTCCAGCCTATAAACATGAGTATTAATAACACACATAAAACGGAGCGCCTTGGCATAGTTGGTTAAGCGTCCGACTCTTGGTTTCGACTCAAGTAGGGATCTCAGGGTCATGAGATAAAGAGTTCCGCATCTGGCTCCATGCTCAGTGCAAAGTCTACTTAAAACTTTCCCTCTGCTCCTCTCCACTCCACCCTCACCACCCCCCAGTGCACACTCTCTCCCTCTCTAAAATAAATCAATCTCATGGGGCACCTGGGTGGCTTAGTCAGTTAAGCGTCTGCCTTCGGCTCAGGTCATGATTCCAGGGTCCTGGATCTAGCCCTATGTGGGGCTCCCTGCTCATCGGAGAGCCTGTTTCTCCCTCTCCTCCCTGCTCGTGCTTTCTCTATCTCTGTTGCTCTCTCTCTCTCTCAAATAAATAAATAAAATCTTTAAAAATAAATAAATAAATCTTTAATATAATACACATAAAAAGGATGCTGGAAGATTTCAAATAATGTGTAAATTACCTAGAATAGAGACTACCAAGTTCCTCAATATATAAATAGATAATTAATGAACTCATTCTTCAAGGTGAATCTGTGCTTCCTTTATTTTTCTCTGTGATGGCAATGATTTCATTGCATTACAATGATTAGCCTTCATGTCTCTCTCTCCTATTAGACCAGGGGTCCTTAAATAAATAGACCCCCTTGAGAATCTGATAAAAAGCTGTGGACTGTTCCTTCTCCCCTCAGTCGTCAAAAAACAAACACATAGAAATCCACATACTTTTCAGGCGTTGAATGTTAAAAATGCTTGCGCTGGAAAGTAAGCAACTAAAAAAACAGAGGTAAAATCTCATGTTTGCAATTCCTAAAAGAGAACCTGACACACGGTAGGGGCTCAACATATATTTGATGGAATTTATGTTGGGATGCCTACTGTGTATATTTCAAGGAGATATAACATGAGCACATCTATTAGGATTTAAGACCTAGAATTGCATGCTATTAAACAGATGTTACAAAAACATTCATTAGCGAAGTACAGCTCCACAGCAATATTTCAGATCTTAGCTCCTTGAAGTAAATTAGCCTTCCCTGGCCAACTATGCAAGTAGGAGAGGTCACGCATACCTGATGGTCTCTTACCAGCTACCCAAGGTCCTATCAACAAAGTCAGGTAAGCTGTCACCTTTCATGACAATGTGTCAGGAGACCAATCCCACCACATTTCCCATCCTTTTTCTCCCCAGTCACAGGCGAAGACCCAAGACTCCTCGGTTGTTCATTATCACTGATGTGCACATCTGCCAGTCGGATCCACTCCTCTACTTTCTATCCCTCCCAAGTCCTTCCAGTATGTCCTCTGGAACGATGCTGCTTACCCTCACCCGAAACTGCACCTCTTCCCTGAAGGTTCTCTTTCTTCGCCTGATAACCTTCACAGGAACTGTTTCTCCTGCAGCCTTTTCAAGGGTTTCTTCCTTGTACCCCCTGTGCCTCCAAAGCAGGAAGTCTGTGCTCCTTGCTCCTCACTGCAGCTTCCAAACCAGATCTTCTCCTTCCTCCTCCAAATACTCCGGGCCCTCCCAGATAGTTCACTAGGAACCTTCCCTCTTCCCTCTTCACTGCTGGCATAGGTTAATCGGACCTCGTTCCCTGAGGACTTTAATACCTGATTTCGGTCTTCCTCAGTAACTCCGCTACAGACTCTAGTCCCCTTTCTCACTTCCAATAACCTCGCCTCACTTCAGCCTCCCACCACCACGGTTATGCCCTGAACCTCATCATCTCTGAGCTGCACCATTTCCAAATGTTCACCTTCTGGCGTCTCATGCTCTCACTCCCGCCTTGCTTACTCAGTAATCCCACCTCGAACATCCTTCAGCCTCACCGAATCTCTAACCCCCCAACTGCTCTTTCACCCTCTCCTGTCTCCATTCATGTCCTTCCTGTTGATCCACAATCCACCATGAGTATCTTGCAAACACGATCAAGTATCTGGCCGCTCTAGTCCTTCCTTGTACCAGCCTGGCAAAACCCCAACCCTGACTGACTCCAGTCCTTCACTTTGCCTATTCCAGAAACTGAATGTTGCCAGAGAAAAAACAAACAAACAATCCCACCACTGTGCTACTTACTCTTTAAAGTCAAAAATCTCAAATGGAAAAAATATATATACATATATCAAACAGGCACTAAGCACTACCTATCAATCTGAGTTTTTGTAGTAAGTTGACTATCTCTGAGATATGATTTCACATCACCTTTTCTCTGCTCAAGCATCATGCACCACTCCCTCCACCCTACTCTCAGCTGATCATCTCACCTCATTCTTCAGTTAGAAAACAAAGTCATTAGACAGTAACCCATTCTCCAATACCAATTCTATTAATGTATCTGCATGAACACTGTTGTGTCTCTGATTACAAGGAATCAATGGCACTGCTCTCATCCAAGGCCAATCCCCATGAGTACTCTGGATCCTATTCTCATTTTTTTACCTTCTAGAGGACTGAACCTCTTCATTCCCTCTTTTCCCTGCAATATCCATGTATCATTGATGTACCATTCCTATTAGCATACGCAGCTCCTCTAGAATTTCCCAATTTAAAAGAACCCTCTCTTAATCCTACAATCCCCTGCAAGTACTTCATCACTTCTATCTCCCCTTTCACAGCAAGTTCTCAGAATATTTGTCCACAAATGTGTCTCCACTTTCTCGCCTCCCATTCACACTCCCAAAGCTAGCATCTTCCTCCACCAGCCCACCAAAAGTGCGTTCACCAGGGCGCCTGGGTGGCTCAGTCGTTAAGTGTCTGCCTTCAGCTCAGGTCATGGTCCCAGGGTCCTGGAAATCAAGCCCCACATTGGGCTCCCTGCTCAGCAGGAAGCCTGCTTCTCCCTCTCCCACTCCCCCTGCTTGTGCTCCCTCTCTTGCTGTGTCTCTGTCAAATAAATACATAAAATCTTTAAAAAAAGTGCTTTCATCAAGGTCACTGACCAACCTCTATGCAATTTAAGCCAATGGGCATTTATTTCTCTGGCCTCAACTGGCAGAAATCATAGCAACATTCAGTAAAAGTAAGTGTTCGGCCTCCTTGAAATGCTCTCCTCCCTCTGCTTCCGTGTCAACCCTCTCCTGGTTTTCCTTGTATCTAACTCGTCACTCCCCCATCTCCCTTGCTAGTTACTTTCTTTCACTAACCTCTAAATGTGGCAGTGCTCTTCAGTAGGACTTATTTCTTTCTTTCCAGGTAATCTCACCAGTTCCGCAGCCATAAGTATCATCTGATCTCTGATGGCATCATCCTTGAGTCCTTCCTTTCCTTTGTATCCCACATCCAATCTATCGGTAAGTGCTGCATTTTTACCTCCATCCTATTTCTCAAATTTCCTTCCATCTCCATTGTCACTAAGATCTCTAGCTAGTTTGTATATCTTCCCTGCCTCAAATTTATTCTCTGAGATGGTTTTCTAACAACTCTAAAGTCCTTCCCTACCTGTTACATCCTGCAACATCACTCCATTTCCCTCAAAATACTGCTCTCTATACCTGCTACTTATTTACTTGCTTTGCCCACCCCCATCTCTCCTCCTCACGCCAGCACTAGATCATGGACTCCATGCAAAAATAGACCTTATCTATTTTGGTCACAGTTATCCTCCAATGCCTCCATAGTGCCTAACACATAGTAGAGGGTCAATAAAAGCTTCTTAAATGAATGAAGTATGGCTCGTGTCAAATGAGCTTAGTACTCTTACCGCACCATTAACAGTTACCTATTTATATGCACTTCCCTTTGTGAGAGCTCTCTTGAGTGTAAGACCAGGCTTGATCCATTTTTGTATCCTTACTATATTAGCACATGTTTTAAACACATAGCAGTTGTTCAGTAAAGAACTGATGAAACAAGTAAGTTAAAATTAAAAATATATTGGCTTAGCATGTTCCTATTTGTGAGGTATGAGAAATACAAAGATATTAATTCTCCAATTTGATGAAAATCATTTATAAATACAATTTTGGAAAGGATCTACTAAAAATTCTCCCTGCCGAAAAGTTTCCTGTATGATAATTATATTAATGGCCTAAGAGAAACTCTTTTTAACTCAAATCCACCTTAACTTCCCCTTTCTTTAGATTATGAAGTGAAAATACGAAAGATCTTGCAGACAGAAGTAAATGAGTTCATGTTAAACCTTTTTGCACACAGACTCAGATTTCAATAGGTGAAGATATTTTTAATACAATTGCTCATAACATAATAAAGCTGTATCTTTATTAAACACATTCATTACTTACTGATATCTCAGTTGTACATAGGATGAAACACCATGAATTCAAGGGAAGAGTTCTTTATAAATCTAAAAAATAAAGAAATGAGAGTCTGATGAATGTGGTACAACAGAGTCACTTCTAATTATGGTGTCTAACTTCTATGTCGTGCCCTAAGATGAACATCACAAGCAGCGGCAAGTAGTATAATAAATGGTCCTTTTTTAAAAAAGAAACTTGTCATAATTTTAGGAAGCTAAAGCTTACATAAAACAGAGATAATAAAAGGATAATAAAAGACAAAAATAATGTACCAAATTGGTTATAATCATGAGCTAAAATATGCAATTTAGGAAATAAGATTTTAAAAACTGACATTAACGTATGTTATTGAGAAGCATAAAAGAGGTGGGATCTTAAATTACTTGTTAAGGATTAGTAGGACCTGAGTAGAAAGAGACAAAAAGAAAAGGTATTCAAAACAGGGGAATAACATGATCAAAGGCACATAAAAACTGACAGAGTTTTAGTGGAAAAACCAGCCGAGCACACCTTCATATAAGCAAAAAAATGAAAAAAAAGTACTGAATAGAAAAGGGCCAGATAATGGAAGGTCTTGGACTCTGGACCTCGTTCTTCAGGCAACAAACATTTTAAGATCCATTTTTAAGTAAGATGACATAATACAGGAAATTCCGTATTTTAGGAAAATGAGCTGGTGGGTCTGATTGATTAGATAAGATACAGAAAGCAAGGAGATAAAAAGGAAGAGTATTTAGCAGACCACTTCCTCCTTCCAACTTTGCTGGTTCTATTTTGAGACTAAATTCCTCTAGCCTCAGATGTACTTTATAATCGTATGACATGAATTCATTAGTCCTTATCTAAGTAACCAAGGCTTGAAACTCTACATTTGATTCCTTCCTTTACTTCTTCTCGAATAGTCTGTTACCAACTCCTGATTATTTTTCCCTCAAAATGCCTCACCTGTGTATCAGCCCCTTTCCCTTCCTACCACCAGTACCTTAAAGCAGGGCCTCATTACCTTATATTTGGGTTTCTCTGTTTCTCTCCCTCCAGCCTTTCCTCCTTCATCTCAACCTAAACATGACTGTCAGATTAATCTTCAGAAACACCCCTCCACATATTAACCCTTGCTCAGAAATCTCTGAAGGCTTCTCACTGCTTGAAAAAACAAAAACCTGAATGCCTTAACTGGCAATGGAGGGCACCAGCAAGCTGCTGACATCACTGCTCACCACGGTCTCAAGGCCTAGCTCAAATTGCACCTCCATACGAATTCCTTTATCATTAGTCTAGACTACATCGAATCTGCCCAACAAAAATATAATGCAAGCCACAAATGTAATTAAATTTATTTTTCATAGCCACATTGAAAAGTTTTACAGGTGAAATTAATTTTAATATACTTTATTGAGCCCAACACATTCAAAATATTATCATTTCAGTACATAGCCATTATTATTGAGATATTTTACATTGTTTTTCATACCAAGTCTTTGTCCAGTGTGTATTTTATATTTACAGCACATCTCAATTCAATCTAACCACAATTTCAAGGGCTCAACAGCTACATGCAGCTTGTGGCTACTGTAATAGCACAAATCTAGACTCTAAAATCAATGCTTCGTATGGTACAGCATTGTGCTCTCCCACTCCTTAAGGTGCAGGTTGGCACCATTCTATTTTTATGTACATATCTTAGGCTTGATTTTAATGGTATCATCATACATATAGTTTCCTGGACCAAAAACTCTGGAGTCACCCTCCCTCCACCAAACTGCAGCCACCCATTGAATCTTATTTGACATTTCAGAAAGGTCTTTCTTACACCCTTCACTATCCTATTTCAATTGAGGCAATCATTACCTTACCTCAATGACTACAATTTCCTCTTATCTAGTTTTCCTGTTCCAAGTTGATCCTCCATACAGCTGTCAGAGACCACCCTAAAAAAAACAAATATACTCATGCCCTTTCCTTGTGCATAGTATGCACCTTCTAACAAATAAAATCTAAACTCCTTAGCTGGAAATCAAAGTCCTTCACAAGCTGCTCTCAATCTTCCTCTTCGTTCACCAACCACCCTTGCACTGCATGCGCAAGCACATTTATCTTCCCACTCTCCCTCAGTATGCCAAAACTGCTCAAGTTTCTGCATCCAGGAATGACCTTCTCCTGAGCCTCATAAATTCCTTTTGACCCTTCAAAACCCAGCTGAAATATTTATTCCTTTATGAAGCTTTTTTGGTGGCCTCAGGAGGTTATTTTTTTTTTTACCTAACACAAACTGCGCACCAAGAATATTTATTGAATGGATGCTGAATGTATAGGCTAAGAGCAAAAGCGATCATCTTTGTATCGCCAAATTCAAGCGCAGCACTCAAAGCAACACACATGTGTGCTTAAAGAATGAACCCGAACCAGACCATCAATTCCTTCCTGACGGATACTACTTCATCTCAATTATCTCTCACAGTTACTCGCTCTCTCAATAATGACCTTGCATGTTGCTGACAGCGAAAGGGAACTAGGCAAAATCCAAGGGAAAACGAAGGAATCTGGGTTGGCCCTCGAGCTCACGAAGACCAAAAAGTCTTTTCCTGGTCAGTTCGGGAAGAGAATTGGTTTCCTAAAAAAAATCACAGGGGATATAAGATAAAAAATTAGGGGATGCGCAATGGATAACTCATGTTCGGCTGGTGACAGGAGGCCAGACTTGCCGGGGTTAAGGCTAGTCTGATCTCGTTTACTTAAGAGCATGTAATAATACAGAGTGATGGAAGCGCTTGAGGGCAAAGGGAGCCTGGAGGGCTGGGGCGCTGGGGGGGGGGGGGGGGGGGGAGCGGGAGGCCGAGACCATTTTAATAAAACACGGTTAACAACTTAAAAGGTCCCTGGGAATCGACTAACTAAAAAAGAACGCCTACTTTGTGCCCAGGGCTTAGCAGCCTCGTGGTCTCTGAACCCGAGACCACGGAAGACCCCCAGCGAGGCGGCTAAAAACACAGCAACCACGAGGACCAAAGGCGCCAAAGCTGGCGTCGGATTAACTCCTCCAGCGCCGAAACTGAAAGGTCACCGGGAAACAGCAAAAAGAGGGGAGAACACAGGAGTGAATCGTACGGACTGCGCTACAAACACCGGGAGCTTTAGACCCACAGAGAAATCACGTCTCTTTCCCTCGATGAGCACTTCTGCCAGGCCCGGCCAGGACAGTCGCCACCGAAACCCCAAGAGCACGTCCCCAGCGCCCACCCGGACCAAGTGGAGCCAGGGTCTCCCTGAGGGCCGAGGACGCCCCCTCCCCCATCCGAAGTCTCGTTCCTTTCCTCCGCCCTCACTTGCCTCGTCAGTCCTCCCCCAACGCCGTCCACTGCCCTTCCCAACCCCTAGTCGAATCCAGGTTCAAGAGCGAGAAAAACTGATGCTCGCTCAGAGGCACCCGGGACGACCAGCCAGCAGAAGCCCCCCGATGGCGGCCGCCATTTTGAAACTGGAGGCGAGCCTCTGAGGCGGGGAAGGCCCAGGGCGATACCATCTTCGGGGGGGGTGGGGACGCAAGTGTGGGAAGGAGATGGCGCTTACGACTAAAGTCTCGTCACCCTGCGCCGAAGTCTTATTTTTAAATAATTTATAATGCGTGAGAGCTAAAATAAGTACAAGAAGAGTCCAACGTCAAAAGGAAGAAGAGGTATGGTTTCCCAGCGCCACCCCTCTCTTCGAGCGAGCGTAGCGAGTGGCAGGTCCCAAGGCCGCAGCTTCCGCCGGCGCCGGTGGTTGGGTCGTCGCTGCCCTTGGTCGTGGGGTCGTTTTTGGCACCAAGGCCGCAGGTGGGTCCGGGGTCCAAGATGAGCCGAGGCGCCGCGGGCCTCCGTTGTGCAGGCGGGGAGGGTCCACCTCTAGGGAAGCCCTCGGCGGCGGCGGTGTCTCTAGGCGAGGGGTGGTGCGGACCGCCCTCGGGTTTGCAGCGGTGGAGACGGGAAAGTGAAATGGGGGTTTCTTTCCGGGGACACGTGGGCTCACGTTTCGCACCTGACGGCTTTTGGAAAGGGTAGTGGGAGGCTGTCATTACTGGAAAACGTCTTTGGGGATCACCCGGTGACTGCCCCTGGCCGGACCGGAGAGAAGACAGGCCGGGATCACGCTCCTAGGCTGGAGGGAAGGCGCGAGCATCCCAGATTCGTTCAAGTTTCAGCGTTCTGTCTCGGTGCTCCCAGGATTGGAAACTAACCTTCTCTTCCAAATCGCAAACCCTTTTGAGCCGACCATTCCACACACAAAAAATCACTTTTTAAAAACGTAATACTTAATTTATACTAGGTTATTAAGACACGGTTGGTTCCAGACCTCAAGGAGTTCAGTTTCTCCATGCATCCAGCACTGCTTTTCATAGATTATGTATTGTTCAAAAAAAAAAAAGTCGATCTAAAATGCTGTGGAGACCAATCAGAGATTAGGATTTAATTTTTGAAATATTTATTCATCTACGTTTTACAACATGAATTGACTTATAAAAATACACACCAGATCCAGTTTTCTTTTCAGAAGTTAGGCGGGAAAAATTGGTTGAAGAAAAAGTAATGTTAGGAAAAATAAGATAACGCTGAGTGAGGTCAGTCTAAATGTTTATCTCTATAGTTACCCTAACAGACAATAAAACACAAATAGCTTGGACCAAGAAGTCAGACTGCCTGAGTGTTAATCCCATCTCTGCCACTTACTCCATCTGTGACCTTAGGCAAGTCGATTGCCCCTGGATTTCCTCATCTGAAAAAAAAATATGCCTACTACATTGGGGACATTAGTGAATACACACATAGTATTGTGAAGATTACATGAGTTAGTGATTATGAAAAGCAATAAGAACCGTACCTGACAGTGCTATTAACAGTTATTTCTAGAGCTAGGCAAAAAATTTGAACCGTATTGGTAATAAAGGATAGGTGATCAGTTACATGATTCCTTGAGTCCATAAGATAAAAACTAGTTTTTCTTAGGAATACCATAGCAAGTCCCAGTTCTGAAGTAAAAGAAGGATTTTTCATGAGTCTTAATAAAGGAGACACTAATGGGGTGCCTGGGTGGCCCAGTAGGTTAAGCATCCAACTCTTGATTGCAGCTCAGGTGATGATCTCAGGGTGGTGAGGTGGTGTTCCACGTCTGTGCTGAGCATGGAGCCTGCTTAAGATTCTCCCTCTCCCTTTGCTCTCTGCCCCCTCAAAAAAAAAAAAAACACTAATAATGTGCAGTACCCTCATGGGCACCCATGTGGATGTCACTCTATCCAAACCTCAGCTTGTTTCATTGGAGCCTGTCCAGGACCTCACTGCCCTTTACCCATCAGATAAAGCCCCCTGTGGTCTTGGGCTCATGACCAGAGCCTGTCTATATCCCTCCTCCTATCCATTCTCCAAGAAATCGTTGTAGCTCACTTCTTAGGTCCATAAATCTTTGTCCTCCCCAGTCATTCACTCACAGTGAAATACAGAGGACAAATTACGTTCAATGCCACTGCTTCCGAAGTCCATTAAATAGATTATACACATGTAATATGAAATGTCTCATGGACTAACATTTGTCATTTACCTGTTAGCGATGGAATCATGGTGGCTGAACCCAACTCTGGATTTTGAATACACAGAATCCTTTTATCTATCAGTCTTCACTTACAGAGTGTATGTAAGAGCCTATGTGCAGCCAGAGTCTCAGGGGTTTGTCTCACCTCTTCTCAGATTCTCAGACTAGAGCCAGACAATAGCTACTTGCCCTGTTGGAAGAATGCCAACAACAATATGGCTTATAGCCCACAGGTGTCCATGGGCTTATTTAGAACAGTCTTGGGCTAAGTCAATAAGCACTTTGTTGTTGGTTAAAATACAGATAGTATCTGACTCACCTGTGCTGAGGGTTAGGCTTGACCCCCCTGTTAAGAAATTTGAGGAACCTGTGAGGACAGGTGACCGAATATATGGCCACTTGACTTCTACAGAGACCTACATTGTCTAGTATTTTGCAGTTTTGTGCTTTCAAAGTTATATTAGTTGATTAAGGCATGTATTGTTATTCCTATACTTGACTGGTTCAAGTTTATTAAACAAGTAAGTGGCTAACTTGGTGGGCACTTGGTCAGATTCACAGAGTGCTTCAGTATCTAAATGCAAATAACGTTACTTAAGGAAGGCATAGTGCTAAGAAAGCCACCATCCTCTAGGAAATAAGGTTGCCCAAGAACTATTTTCATCAAATCATCTAAAAAGTTCTTTCAACTATAGGTTTTTCCAGTCCCACAAGGAAGGAGGACCGAAAGTACCTATTTTGTTTGTTTTAAAGATTTATTTATTTGAGCGCACGATCTCATGAACGGGGAGGGGGCAGAGGGAGAGAATCTTGAAACAGACTCCCCGCCAAGTAGGGAGCCTGACCTGGGGCCCGATCCCACAACCCATGAGATCACAACCTGGGCCAAAACCAAGAGCCTGATGCTCAACTGACAGCCACCAGCCTACACCCCCCGCCCAAAAGTCCCTATTTTGATAAAGGCTCCACAGATGTTTTTGATACGCAGTCAGGTTTGAGATTTCCAACTGTAGACGGTAGACTAAACCTTTAATTAATGACTAAACTGTAAGTTACATATTTTAAATAACTTGTTAACGTTACATAGTTTTCCAGATTGGAACCTGCTGTATGTAATATTACACTTTATCATATAGAGTATAGAGTAATTGTGCAACTGTTAACTTCATGGCCATTTTCTTGCCCAGTACCTTTAGATAGTGATGAAGTTTGAGAAATAAAGAATTGAAATGTGTTAAGTGTGAGAACCAGTGTCTTAGGAGAGGCAGGAATCCAGTCTACCTAACCCTAGCACAGTTTAGTGCTGAGCACTTTTGTCGGCAGTATTCTCTTACCAGGGTGTTGTCACATGCCTTCTCAGCCATTGTATATGATTTATTCATCTTAGATTCATGCATAGACAGGTACATTTTGATTTCATCTTTAGGTACAAGTTTTTGCAGAAACTGACAATTCAACTCTTTTTTTTAATTAAGGCAAATTTATTTTCCATATGGTGACTTCTAGTTCTAGTCCTCCTCCTCTACCTTTTAGAAAACCTTAGAACTTAAAAGCCCTTAAGTACCATAAATATCAATTCGAGAAGAGGTCTTTGAGAGAGATATTGAGATCTAATAGAAAAAGATTTTTGGAGGAAACCTGAGCTTGGATTCCAGCTCTGTACTTAATACCTGTTTAGGTTAAGCTGTTTTCTAGTTTATAAAATGAGGATAATAATAGTTATTTCATGTTATGTATAAGATTATATGATGGCCCTGGTACCTAGTAGTTATTCTATAAAAGTAAATTCCCTTCTGTCCCTATCTTTTGTAAAATCTTTGAGTTGATATTGAGATCTACCATGACATTGTTGAATGCAGTGGTTTTTTAAAATTTCTCTCATTTTATTTCCTTTCAAAAATTAGTTTTCAGCTTTGTGCATTAGCAGTATTGTAGTTAATGGGGTTTATCTGAGTCACAACTACTGCTAATTGAAAAATTAGTTTTCAATAATGATAACTAAAGAATTCTGCTTTGGGCATAATAGTATAATTATATTTGTTTTAGCATTGTCAGAGGTTCTAAAAATATTTTACACGTGTAAAAGTTTTAAATTAATAGTTGGAGGGTGCAAATATTCAGCCTTTGCAGGTAAAATTTTCCGGGGTCCAAAATGAGCCGCAGGTAAAATTTTCCGGGGTCCAAGATGAGCCGAGGCGCCGCGGGCCCCCGTTGTGCAGGCGGGGAGGGTCCACCTCTAGAGAAGCCCTGGGCGGCGGCGGTGTCTCTAGGCGAGGGTTGGCCCGGACCTCCCCCGGGTTTGCGAGCGGTGGAGACGGGAAAGTGAAATGGGGGTTTCTTCCCGTGGACAGCTGGGCTCACGTTTCACGTTTTAGTCTAGTATTTTTTATACTCTCCATTTCTCTGTGCTATACCATATCAGACCACTAGTGGAGCTAAAAAGGAAGTTAATAAATTGATTTTAGTGCAGTGCAATTTTTATACTAATCATTGTCACCTGTATAATTGTCATCAAGTAGATTTTAAGTTGTATACTACATTCTGATGCCAAAGCAAATTTGAAGAGGCTTATTATGCTTGTAACATCTATCTCCTATATTCAGGGCTATCCTCCTGCTTCAGATGCAATTTTTCAAGATATTTCAAAAGCAGTTATATTTCTGATAATCTTTTTTTTTTTTCCTAGCACTCAGGATGAATGTAATTCAGATTGTTCGTGACCACTGGGTACATATACTTGTGCCCATGGGGTTTGTCCTTGGATGTTATCTAGACAGAAAGAATGATGAAAAGCTGGCTGCCTTCCGGAACAAGAGTTTGTTGTTTAAAAGGTTAGTTTGTACACCTTTTTTAAATGAACAATTAACCAGTTCTTGGAAATAAGCCTTTTTAATATCATATGTGCCAAAAATAAACAGAAGGGGTAAATTTTCC